AATAATAACTCAATTGTATTTTTGATCTTCGCAATCGATTTATATTGAGTATTGTTACAACAGCAGAAGTCACGTGACGCTGGGATCATGTGCGCTGGAATTTCTCGAATTATCGGGGAACCCTGCGGATGTCTTAGTGTTTGCTAGATGCCTTCTTTTTTGGCATATAAGCCTGGCAGAGAAGCCAGCGATAGATAGATAATTAAAGAAGTGAACAGTAGTGACTGTAAGTAAAGTGTGTGAATCACTGTGATTTAGAGCGTGTATTATAAAAGTTGTTAAGTTTAAAGTACCGAGAAACGTACTGACTGTGGAATTACTGTGTACTAAAAGTTTGTATCAAGAAAGAATAAACTGGTTTAATTAAGAAAGGACTTGTATCACTGAAGTTCCTCGGAAAGAATTTATACCGGAAATTAACAAATAAGCAGATACACAACAGTATCTTTCATCTCCATAAGGTTTTGAAAAAATTCTAGTGAAATTGTTTTAACTAGTATAATAATACATCATTTGCCTTTACTACAACAGTATAGAGAGTTATGTTATATAATGCCTTATATTGTCAAAGTTTTATTTACTGAATGGAAGTTTGTATGATATTTTATTACAATAAGACTGAGTATAATTTTAAATACATATTTCTTTACTGGCCTAATATGGATCCCCATTAGCAAAACATAATAGTGTCTTCACCACACACACATTCCATACCACATATTGCTGTCAACAAGGGCTTGCATTCAATACCATAGCTCATCTATATAATTGATATTTTGTAAATAACACATATGAATAGGGTTTTAATTGAAGCTTTGTTTGTTGCATGCTCAGTCAACCTGATAATTCATTAGTACTGTTGCAAACTTCGAAAGAAAATACTGTTGTAACATATTATATCATTTGGCAGGTTCTTTTGGATTACTTGAGAAAAATGCAAAACAATGGATGACACTGACTTGGACTGCCTGCCTTTGTGAATTCTGTAAACCACATAACTGATTACTTTCAGTACAATGTATGGCCTTTCCCCATACCCATTCTTTCAATGAGAGTTGTTCAGCTATGCCATGTCACCTTGATGACATCCAGTCTTATCAGCATTAGCATTATTGTGACTTTTTATTTTATCACAAGCCAAGTTAAGTCTTTTCTGGGTAAAATCATATGTGACATCTTTATTCCTCAGATTTTTGAGGGGTCTTTCAATCATCCTTCCTTCAGAACATGCCACTATTCCTAATAACTCCTTGTATTAGTATTTCACTTCTTGGTGGTACAATGACCACTTGAACTTGAACCTGAAATGCACAGGGATTTCCTGGTCATTGACTGTGAAGCTGTTAAAAGCTAGCCAAACCTTGCATTTATATCATTGCATGAAGTCACTTCCCAATATGCACTCTTCCTTGATGTCAGTTACTCACAAATCATGAGTTGAAGAGAAGCTTCCTCAGTAAGGGTAATTTCAACTTTCCTCTTTATGGAATTCTGTGTCTGGTTGCTGTTCACATAAATACACTTTCTTCCTTTATTTCTGGAGGCAATTTCTCATCTTCCATTATCAAATTTGATTGAACTATTGAATCTAGAACCAGTGTCGATCAACAAACTGCAAGGTTTTCCATCAATATCTCCATGTGCTTCTGTATGATTTCCCTTAAACACTGAATTTTTAATATCATTTTAGGCAGATGAAATACTCCCAGCTGATGAACCTGTCCTGGGCTCTGTGATACATCCTCGGGGTATTGTCTCCTTGGCTTAACAGTTGTTGATTCCTTACAGTCTTGGCTGTAATAGCCATCTTTCCCTTAACTACAGTAGTTCTCTCTTTTTTTTTTCTTCAATATTTTTTAGGAATTCTTATTCCTAACAGGCTTTAATCTACAGTTCTTTCCAATATATCCTTTCAAGTTACACTTGAAATACCTATTGGCTTATGGTTTATTTCCTCCATTCTGTGTAACTAGTTGTAAATATCTTAAAATTAAATTACTGCCATGGATTGGATTGGATCCAACCTAATTTCCATATACTCTTCAGTTATGCCACCTATAAGTTTGTCAAATGCCAATGAATACATCATTTAACAAGGAGCATCTGGGTAAAATAATTGGGCAAGCCTTTCCAAATCTTCCACATGTTTAGCTAAGGTCTCTTCTTTTCACTATACGCTGACCCAGAACTTTTCTCTGGATGCTTCCTAGTAGTGTTTCATCCTAAATCTGTTGGATAAGACAGCTATCAATGTTTAATAGCTGTTACAGCCCTCTGCTGGAATATTACTTAATGGCATTAAAACTGGTTTTTAAATGGGCAGAAAGATGAATAGCTTGTTGTTCACTGTTTCACCTATTCACTCTGGCAATTATTTTGAACTGAGCCTTCCATACCTTCTATTATACATTTCTATTCTAGTCCATTTGTTTTTTAAATGGCCAGCTAAACTCTGGAACTGGATTTGGTAGTGGCATGGCTGGAGTAGTCCAGGAAGGTCCTGCAGTCAGATGTGGCACAGCAGTAATGGTAGACCATAATGTTCTTATAAAGGATGTTTTAAGACTGTACTCTTGGGCAGAGGTGTGGCTGGCTTGACCTTTGCATTCACTAGTTCTTTTGCCAAATATTTTATTTTCTCATTGATTTCTTTTTTACTTTTTCATTTTGTCATTACACCCTTTTTTCAATCTTGTTGTTGTAATCACTCTATACATCTCCAGTAGCTTCATTCCTCTTGTCTTCAGTCATATCTGTTTTTGTTGTTAATTCTTTAAATATTATGTCTCCTTCTTTTAACTCCTTTTTATAAATTTCTTTCTTCTTGGTTTATTTTAATTTTCTTATAGTTTTTTTTTTAATTTTCTGTCATGTTCTTTCTTTAATTTTCTATAGACTTCTTGATATTCTTTTAATTGCATAATCATTTTCAGTGAAGTTTTTGTCTTTTGTGATTTGATTATTATCTTAAAATTATTCAAAGTTCAATGTTATTTTCACATTACTAATCCAACTCCTGACATCATTGGGCAAGTTCTTTTGGATTACTTGGTAAAAGTATTAATACAAAGTTCAGTACACGTAACTGTAACAATTTTGAGTATTTCTCCTATAAATGATTGCTACAGGCTAGTTTCACTTTCACACAGTTTTTAAGATCATAGAATCCTGCACCCAATAGCAGATATTTGAATTAAAATATTGAAACCAAAACTTACAACACACTTATTTTCTTAGAAATCATAGTTAATGCAGATTTACATAATTTGTTTATCATACTGTTGTAATGTGTTTTAGTTTTGAACAGGTTCTGTTGAATTGTTTGTTGAAAATAATGTAAAGTCTGGTCCATGGTTCATGTAACAATGATGAAAAAATTAATTTTTTAATACCATTTCTACAGGCTTCGTTCACTTCGACACAAGTTGTAGATCTTACTTCTCAAATAATGATTCAATCGATGTGCTCGCTAATGGTATTGATTTATGGATGTATGAATTTTTTTTTAATTTTCATTTATTCAGTTTATATGCAGTTTTATCATAAAACATAATCCAGAAAGTTTTGAGATTGCCTTGTTCTTGTTCTTTTATTTTTTGTTTGGTAAATGTCTATTCTGCCCAAGAGGTTATATCATCTGGGTTTGAAGGAATAAACTGTATTTATATTGTGTGCTAGCAGAGTTAATGTTGTCTAAATGGAACAGTTGACCAGTGTTGTGAGAGAACAAAGGTCACAAAGAGATGCTGGCCAAAGAAACCAGTTTTACCTTTTGAATTCAGAATCCTTTCTTGGTTTAGTTCTATTACTAAGAGATCATTGAGTAAAGACCTACAACAAGAGTATTGTGTTTAGTTCTACAGAGATTAATCCCGAGAGAAGAAAAGCTATGAGACTAAGTAGAAGTGACTATCTTTTTATATGCACAAGTATGTCAAATAATAACAATTGTTAATGTTTTCATTTTTACCAACTTTTTTCCAGTACCATTATTTTACAATGCAAGAAAGACTCAGTTAAATTATCCAATTCAGAATCACTCTTCTTATTTTCTGAACAAATCTCTAGTAATTAGAGGATCTGTCTATCTGATACTTATTGGCAAATCAGTAGTTGAAGATACTACATACATATATGTGATAATTCTCACCGAATAACTTTTCTGACACTGAATTGATCTCTCTTACTAACTACTAACAATTATCATTAATTTCACTAATTTATTACTCATATTTATAAATGATGTACCCTTATCCCTAGATATTAGAGGAAGGTTCTTGATTATTATATCATCATCATGAACTTCTTAGGTATTCTAGGTCTATCTTTATGAGCTTTCTAGATCTAGCATCACCATCCTGATTAGCTTTTCCCTTTAGCAAACAATTAAATTATAACATTGGAAGTATAGCTTACAACAATAGGTTTTAAATCAGAGGTGTGTAATATTAGCATTTCATTCATATCTTTTTGTCCATTGTTAGTATTTCTGGCTTTTTTTTTGGCTGTCATTAATAACTGGTGAGGAAGCCTTTCATTCACTACCAGAACTTTTCAGAAATTTGAAGCATTACATTTCCATTTTTATTAATCAGAAAATTCTTATTATAACAAAAATTATATGTGAAATGATATCATGCAGTTCAAGAAACATATTGCAATTACATTATTTTTTTTTTAATGAAATAGGTTAATAACAGGAATGTTAGAGGCAAGTGGGAATTTTGTTTACTAAGCAATACAATTTTAAATTTATCTACGAAAATCCATAGCCGAATCAAATGTTACATAGTTTGTCAAAAGTAATTATCCACATTTCTGAAGTATACTTCTGATTTTCTGTCCTACCTAGAGTTTTATAGAAATAAGGAACTTTTAATTATAAGATAACTCTTAACATAGTAAAATATTAATGCTTCCCTGCTACTTGTATAATTTCTGTAAATAATGTTTTTATAAATAGCTCTTTAAGATATCCTATTTCCATTCTTTTTCTGCAGAACATTGTTATCCTGACAGGGAGTTTGATTGTGATGATGGAACTTGTATAGACAAGTCTCTGAAATGTAATGGTCACTTTAATTGTAGATACCGTTATGACGAAGAAGATACTATATGTGTTGAAGGTAAGTGTGGAATGAGGGATACTACAACTTTTCAAAACAAGGTATTAGATTCTCCGTGTCACATTTTAATAACTAAAAACTAAACTAAGCATCTTGTTTAACTTTTTTTTTCAACACTAAACATGTCCATAGTACGTTGGGCTACAAAGTACAATGACAAAATGATAAAGGGAAGTTTTGACAATATTTACAGTTAGTTGTCTTCCTTAGTATGTTTCCTAGCTCTTTAATAACACATTTATAAGAAGTTTAAAAATAGCATAGATTTAGCAACCACAACAACGAAAGTAACCATGACATTGTTCTTTATTTGTTTCATATAGGCACTGGCATTGGTTAACTCTTGATTCCCATTTAAATAAGGCAACATTTACTTTGATTTAATTGTCAGTTTGTGAGAAATGAAAAACAAAAACTACTGATTGTTTTTAATGTCATCAGTTGTATATACAAACTGGGAAACTTACTAGGCAAAGTTAGTGTCGTTCCATAGTTATAGGTAAATGTAATTTAACACAGCTATTTTTTTTTTACATATAAAAGCAAACCTACTTTGTGTAAAAAATGCAATACTATTAGGAGGTTCTATTAGTAGAGTCATGCTATAAATCATTGGCTAAAAATTAAATGTTGTTTTATCTGGATCAAACATTGAAGGTAAGACATCATTCTAACTGGAAAGACCAAAGATTAATTCACATGCTGGATCACTGAAAAAAACAGTAACCTTGAGGTGCCTGACCTAAAAGGAATTATTGGATCACATGAAGAGTGAAAAGAGAATGTTTGTACCAAAATAGATTATATCATAGCAGGAAAGTGAAAACGAGTGTGGCACACTTCCAGTACATATTGGAGATTAAGTTACTATACTTGTGATATGCAAACATATCATATATTTTCTACCTGCTTTAGTGATATAGAAATTTTTAAAATTCTTGTCTATTTAGTTTGCAGTTTTAGCATAAATATGTGGTCAAGAAAGTCATTCAGGTTGCCTTATTCTAGTTGCCTTGTTTCTTTGTTCTCTATAGTAAAGATAATGTCTATTCTGCTCGAGAGGATATTGCAGTAACATATAGCATCCAGGTTGAAAGGATTTGTGACTGTAATATCCTTTGCTGGCTAAACTGACAACGTCTGAATGCCTCAGGTGACAAATGCTTGAAAGAACAAAGATCACGAGGAGATGTTGTTGACATGCTGTCTTGTTTCAACTTTACTTGGTTTTCATTGCGACTAGTTCAACAGAAACTCATCTTGAGGGATGAAGAGCTCATGAGCTAGTCACTGATCCAGTAAAGGCAATCATTCACTTGTCTACATTGATTTTTTTATTGTTATACCTAAATAAAGATTGTTTTCACTCACCATCAAATGTATCCAATCCATTTATTTCCCATGCAACTTAAAACTCAGTCAAGTTATAAAACACAGATTGCTGTTATTAGCTGGTCTATTTATCTGATAACTGTAGGGAAATCAGTTTATCTGAAAATACCACAATTAGATAGGAAGGAGAAATTTTGATGTCATGACCAGGATTTATTGGGAAGTTTCTGTTTTTGTTAACATGTGTAGTGGATCTTGTTTTGAAAACAGTTTAAAGGAACATTTTTACTGACAGAATGGCTTATTGTAGACATAGAAGTACTCACCAAGACCAAGAAGGAGAGTTTAAGAAAGCATCGACTGAAGGATGAAAACATGGCTTCACACCTGTCAAGTCCAAGACTAATTGGGGAGACTCCCAGGCTATTGCCAGACAGAGTAACTTAGCCCCAGCTCTGGTCCAGACCACAGTAAATATGTTGAGGAGGACTAATATGTCACTGGTGAATGAACTCTGCCAGTTAGAATTGTTTCCCTGGCAGGTGAGATAGTGGACACCTGTGGATAGAAAATATGAATGAAAATAAGTGACGTTATTTGCTTTCCAAGCTATCAAATGATTCAACTAAAATGTATGTACTACACTGTGTGATTTTTGTTTGATTATTACACTTAAGACAGTCACCAATCTGTACAATCGTGGACTAGAAGGGGCTATTATTCCTTATTTTTCAAGTTATCAAGTGGTATCAATGCGATGTATGAATCTGTAAAATCTTCACTCAGTTTTCAACAGTTAGAAAGATTGTGTGATTGAACAATATTAGTGATTGAAAAAGTGTATTGACATTTGCTTTCAGAGCCATTGAGTAATGTTTTTGATGTAAAACATTGTCCTAAATTTTGAGAAAATCACACACAAATCTAGTTGATTGGTAAGAACTCTATGGAGATGCCAACCTGTACTTACTACACTTTCACATCTATTTACCTGGAAATTATGCTGGTACTACAAGCTACAAGGGAATTGTGTTTCCCTTGAAAATTACAACAATAAGAAGCAAGGGCATGGAAACAAAGGATTTAATCTTGTCTTTATGAATTAATGAGTATGAGGTTAACTATGGTAAAACACATGGAAAGTATTGTTGGAAAATACTGTGTATCTGTTATTTTTGCTAATGCTAATAAGAGAGAATATTTTAATTTTGACATTGAAATGTGTGGCAGTGTATTTTCATGGAAGAGATAAAAGTAACAAAGGCCCAACTATGGCTAGAGAAAAACAATTTTATGTGATGTATTCAGAACACAGTTTTATCTGTTGTTTCTCATGTCATAGTGCAGGAAATATTTTGACTTGATCAAGTTGAAATATTCATGAACAGATGAAATTATTAGTAAATGAAATTCACAAAATGTAACTCGGGTATCATAACAAGTATATGCACTTTTTTGTACCCAGAGTTTTATTTGGTTGTAATATGCACTTTTTGTGCCCAGAGTTTTATTTGGTTGTAATAGGAATATTTCCAGTCATACAGGTTGGAATATTTTAAATAAGTAAACAGTTTTATTGAATATTTTCTTAATGTTATTTCAGTATAAGATGCAGTATTAAAGCATGAAAATGCAGGTTGTATATACACTATAGGTGAGGCAGAAAGTAACATCCATATGATAACATTTCATAATTGTCTGAAAATTGTAAACTAGTAAACATAAAGACGTTCCTCAGGAAAGAGAGTGAAAACACTGGCAAAAATAAATGGTCAAAAATGAGGTTGGCATCGCCTAACTTATGACATCTCAACTGTGTAGGACTTGAGTAGTTTCTACTTCCATTTTTTCCTACCGGGCTCTGTTTATGTGGCAACCAAACAGTAGGTTAGGGATGAGGCTGGGTCAGAGAGTTTGGTATGCGTGTTCATTTTATCTGGCAGGGCTAATAGAAGGCAGCATGGCTACAAGGTAGTGGTTGAGTGAAAACCCAGGGAAGCATGGGGATTGGGAAGTCCTCAGATTCTCTGGGCATATGATCTACAGTGAGGATTGGCATGAGTACACATTAAGCCTGTAGACATGTCGCTTGATCAATACCTAGTTCACAGTTGTAACCATCCATTTTGACCACCCTTAACCTATACACTTAGCCGAATTTTTAACTAATGGAATTCACCTCACCTTACACTGAAATTTGGACTTTAGTACGAAGGATTGAATTCTGATGTTTATGGATATCTTGTTGTTGACCTGGCCAGTGGTGTTTCCATTCCTTGTTGCTGAGTAATTCCAAAACATTTTCTGTTGCTTGATAGATCAAAAGCACAATTGAAGATCATCATGAGGAGATGCTAGCTTGGCTGATGCTGAAGACATTGGCCAAATGAGCCCATCTAATGGTCAGCTTTCTCTTCACTTGATTGGTGAAGTAGATGCAAGACATTGAGCTTCAGGTTCATCAACAGTGGACAGTTGCATCAATGTCTACTGAGAAACACCATCATCAGGAAGCTATAATGCCATTTCCCAGTGAATCATGTAACTATATATATATATATATTTACTTCAGTGAAAGATAGAATGTTCTGATGTATATATTTGATGGTTTGCCTTTAAATTGTGTTTTAAGATTATTTTATTTTGTCAAGTATTGTAAAATGGGTTACATTAATATGCTTATCATGAAGGGTTTTCTTTTTAGTATTTGGCTTATTATATTTTGATTAATGTAAAGGGTTTTCTTTTTCTGCATTGTGTTTTTATTATGTAATTTAATTCAGTAAATGGTTTTGATTTTGTTTATTTTAAATGTCTGCATAGTCTGCTAGACTACCTTTTCTATAGGAGACAGTAGTCATTGTCTTTATTGATGGGTATTTTTTCTTTATAAGTGTGTACTTCATTTGTTAAAGGACATTAATATGTTTATTGTTGAAGGGTATTTCATGTATGTATGTTAAAGGATCTTATTATGTTGCATTCGTTATTAAAGGGTAATTTTTATTTTTGTATTGTGTAATTTAAACTCCAGTTAAAAGGTTTTATTATAATGGATTGCATTTCAGTTTCCAATTACAGTTAATGGATTTATTTTATATGTTTCATTTTAGTAAAGTTAAAAGATTGTAGCCAAATGTATCTAAAATCGCTATTAAAGAGCTTGATTTTTCTTACTGTGACTAATTGTGATTTATTGTTAAAGGGTTGTGCTGTCTATGTGGTGTTCTGAGTAACAAAGGAAAGTTAACATGTTCCTTTGCCATGGTGTGAATTTAAATTTTATTGGATTTTTAACATGAATTTAATCATTAGGTTGAGAACAAGTATAAAACAGAAAAGAAAGGAAAAGGGATATTTTGTTTATTTGTTGTAAAAAAAAAAGCTACACAATGGGCTATCTGTGCTGTGCCCATCACAGGTATCAAAACCTAATGTTTAGCACCATAAGCCCTAAGACTTGCCACTGAGTCAATGGGGGTAAAGTGTGTTGTGTGGCATGCTGGAATGCCATTTATTTTTCACCTGCCTTTAGTGATATATGAATTTTCAAAATGTTTTCTTTATTGAGTTTTATGCAGTTTTAGCATAGACATGTGATCCAGAAAGTCATTGAGATTACCTTGTTCAAGACTTTGTTTCCTGTACTAAATAATGTCTATTGTGCCTAAGAAGATATTGCAGTAGCTTATATCTTCCGAGTTGAAGGATCAGCATTTTAATATCCTTTGTTGGATGAACTGATGTTGTCTAAACAAACAACAATTCAATGCTGTGAGAGAGCAAAAACCAGGAGGTGATGCTGTCAAATGGACAAAGGAACCAGGTTTACCTGTTCAACTGAGGCATGCTTTCTTGATTTGTTTCTACTTTGTTTTCATTATGACTAGTTTGGCAGAGAATCAGCTTGAGAGAGATGGCAAGCTGATGAGCTAATCATATACAAAGACACAAACTATTTCTTGTGTTTGTTGTGTCTAAATAAAGATTGTTTTTACTGTCCATCAATATATCTGTTTATTTCTCATGTATCTTAAAACTCAGTCAAGTTACCAAACATAGATGACAATTATTTACAGCACAGTGAAAACATACTGATTCGTTTAGATCTAATTTACAAACAACGTCAGAAATCTTGACAGCATTCTTGGCAAATTTTGTACTGAAGTTAGATAGCTGCATATCTTATACTTTTGTTAATATGATCATGTAATAATGGGCTGTTGTATTTTGAAAATTAAGCAATTTCTAAATGTTATTGATTTATTATCAATTCTTAAAATTAGATCAAAATCTTTAATGAAAAGGTAAACTTTAAGATTTACATTTGGGCATAGGAATGTAGGCTAAATATACTTTGGAAGTGCTAATTAATCAAATTTTAGTAAAACTTAAAACAGAAGGGGTAGAATAAAATAATTATTGCATGGTGATTTCAGGCAACAGATCATTTGTTGCCTTTGCAATAAGTCAATAACTGTTTAATGTTCTTGCACTATATTTTCTGTCAAAGAATTTTCAGCCATTTATTCCATGTCTTTATTGATACTGTATGTGTATTAACACAAGTGTCCTGGCAGGTCATAACAGGTTAGATCGGATGGACCTCTAATATTCAACACTGGGTATCACTCTACATCAAATACATAGGCAATGAAAATTATTGTCATCACCATAACATGAATCTTTAGCAATGCCATAAAGTAAAATCATTGCCATTGCCAACAATGAAACAAGGAGGGACAGCCAAAAATCCCATGAGTCTGTCTCCATCAGCACCACAAGAGAATTGTAGCTCCACTCTGTAGCCACAGAAATGACTTATAATACACTAGACAATCATTTTGAAACCATGACATTAGAATATCCCTGACAATTTTATAATTAAACATGATTCTTTACATAGAACAAGTACATCTTTTTGTCTTGGAGAAATTGGTGGTCTGAGTCATTTTATTGTTTAAATTCTGTTTACTTGAGGTCCCTATAAGTAAATATGATATATTTTGTTTTTCTTGTTTAAATCCTTATGTTTCCTTGATTATTAAAAATAAGTTTTTTGTGTTTTTTTAATAGACCTTGTTCCTGTATAAGCATAGTTGCAGTATGTAATAACTTAGATCGAGGCTTATACTTAAAACTTATCTATTTAAACAACATACAGTTTAAATACTAGCAAACAATTTTGATGTATTCAAACTTCTTAAAGCAATATTAGGGAAGCTGGCTTCAAGTGAAACAACAAATGCTATCTTAATACAGTATCTTATTTACAATTTTTCTTCAACACTAGCCCACTGTCCAACTTACAGAATCCATCCTAGAATTCCTTTTACTGCTAATCTTTAACATAAGAATATTTAGCCTGTAAAACTTTCATCAATGCATCTCTGCAAATAAATTATTAACTTACTGTTATATGATGTAGTTGTAACAGGTATTTCTATAGTAATATTTAAATGTTATATTGAAATAAAAGTATATGTTTTTCAAGTAAAGTTTTGACTGGTAGGAAACGTAGTTGTTATTACTCCATCATTAATAATTGTGCGAGACAAATAGCATTCCAATTATAAATAAAATTACATTTGGATTGTGTAGAAAAAATATTATAATTCCTTGATCATGGTATTTCAGAAAGAAGCTGTGTTAGTAAACTATTCTATTTAGATATCATATTATTTTACTTCCTGATAATTTAATCCAGGAAAAATTTCAGTTTATGGTAATATAAGATGAGTTAGTTTTTCAAAGGCACTGTATTACCAATGTGTTTTACTTTGAATATGTTAGTATGTGTTTTAGTTATTTGTAAGATTCAGTCTAGTATGTAATTTCTGATGTCTTGCAGTAAATTATTAGCAATTATTTTAATAACTCTAGTGACGGATGAAATGGAGAAAACTTTAAACTCTTTCTTAAATATATATATATATATACACACAAACTACTTTCAAGTATAATAGAATTTTCCTTATGTTTATTTAAGAAACTAACTGCTGACACCATTACACAAACAAAAATGTATAACTTACTTTAATTATTTCAAAATGTATTTTGAAATTATTTTTTCCCAGGTTCCTTGCCTGCTGTTGTACTGAAGTCAGAACACATGATCATTATCCTAGTAGTGTTTTTTGCCTTAGTTGTGGGGATGTGTGCCTCCATTTCCATTTCCTGCTATGGCAAGATCAAGGTACGAAGAGAAAGGGAACGTGAGTATAGACTCAGGAGGTCCAAGGAAGCATCTGTTGAAGTAGCACTAGACCACATAGTAAACACACTAGATCGAGGTTTGGAAGCTACATTAGCAGCTGAAGCAGCTCAAATTGGTGCAAGAAGAAAAGGAGCAGGGATTTCCCAAGAAGACATTGAATCTGAAAACATCGAAATGGACCAATTTTACTGTACACGACAACCAAATGGTGGTCAAACTATCTCTGAGCTTCACAAACGTATGTTGTCACAACCATCATTGAATGTTGAAGAATTTACCACACATACACAAAAATATAGCCCACTCTCACAATATAGAAATTTGGAACGAGCCCCACACACCCCACCTCAAAATCAGAAATATTACTCTGTTTCACCATCTCAGAATGAGGAATATACCCACCATTCAAAATCCCAGAAACAAGAATATGTGCCTTGTGCACAACCACAGAATAAAGAAAATGCCACTTACACATCACCTCAGAATCTAAAGTATGCATCATACTCAACATCCCCAAATCCGGAATATGCTATACAGTCCACTAGGCTAAATAAAGAATACAAACAATACTCACAACCATGGGTGCATCAACATGCCCAACACTCACCTATTAAGGATCAAGAAAACATCCCACAATTACCATCCCAGACTCAAATTTACTCTCCATGTTCACAATACCAAATTCAAGAAGTCATGACACCCCAACTTCATGAACACATTATACATTCATCACCTCAAATTCGAGAATACAAACCACCATCGATGTGCAAGTTACAAAAACACAGTCCACAATCAATGTCCAGATATCATGAATATAGTCCTCATTTAAATCTCCAAGTTCACGATGATGTGCCACAGTCCCAACCTATCAGACATATGATAATGAAATCCAGTCGAGATAGTGAAAGTCCACCTTTGCCTCCACCTCCACCACCACCTTTACCACCCCATCTTCGAAGAAACCGAGAAAATCCACAATCTCAGCATTATGAAGTCACTGGAAGTCAGTTCAATCCTTACAGAACTGCTGTAATACCCCCTAATGAGGAAGAAATTGAGCTCCTAAACAATCCTCACAGGTTTAGAGCTGAAGCTGTTATTGAGATGAATCCTTCTGAGGAAGATCGACCTCAGAGTTTTGAATCAACTAGGTCAGCACCTGATGTCATAGTTCATCGTTGACCTTAATCTAGCTTAACAGTCATGTAAAATCAACCAGGTCAGAAAATTATGCAGTTGCATATTACTGATAATAAACGTGATTCTGGGTTCTGCACATTATTTATCTAAGAAATTGATTAGTACACCTCAGAGGAGATGGAAAATCTTTTCACCTTGATGATAATTCAAGTGACAATATAGTGAGTAACAAAATACAATATCTAGAATAATTTATATTTCTTTGGTTCATGGTAAATAACAAAATAATATTCTTGTTGGGAATATGGTTTTAAAAGTTTTTGATTTGTTTTGTTTTTGGAAGGCAAGCATTATTACTGGTAATCATACACAGAGACAAATTTTAAAAAGTTTTCATTTTTTTTTGAAGAAAGATAAAATTCTTGAATTGATTACATTTATAGGAAAGTAAGAACTATGAGTGGTAATAAGAAAGGGCACAACTTTCTTTTTTAATAAAGCAAAAATGTGACTTGTAGGCATACATGTAAAGGAGGTAATTATTTTGAATGATAATTATGTTAATAGGAATATAAAGTTTTGACTGATAATTACTTTAGAAGGATGATGGAACTGTAATGCTGCAAAGAAAAAAAAAAGAAGAATGATTAGAAACTATGTGACTTAAATTTCATTTTGTAATTGGCACTTTGAATCAGTTATAAAATTCTGGTTACAAAGACAGAAAACAATTGTGGGTTAATAATGTTTGGAGATGGCTTGAATGGGTAATGAAGAAAAACTTTAATATAAGTTTAACATAACAGCAAATGTACAACGTTTCAACAAGGTTTTGTCATCAGATACCCATTATGTTAAACTTATATTAAAGTTTTCTTCATTACCCTTCCAAACCGTCTCTAAGCATTATTAGTCTCAAAGTGGGTTCCTCGTCATCGAAATTGTGGGTTATTTTTTTAGTTAGTGGGAATGAAACAGTGTAATTTTACAATTGATAACATTGTTTAGAGCAGTAATAGATTAATGTGATTCCATACATCAGTTTAGAGCAGTGATTCTCAACCTTTTTGGTACCACAGACCAGCTCCACAGATGCCTAAAAATAAATGTTAAAATAAATGCAAACCACAGTGATGGAAGCATTATCAATTATATTAACTAGCATTGAATGGACCATCTGTTGCTGTAGCAAATATGCCAGTGTTGTATTTTATCTCAGTGCCAAGTTTTTTCCAGCAGTATCTATACATCTAATTATTTTGACAGCTATACCAACAAGGTATTCCCAAAACACTTTTATTATTTACAACATTATCAATTCTTCACCAAATGTGAATGGGAACTTGTATTAGACTATATGAAGAGAAAGCAACTAGTATCTTCACTTTCAATTTATCATCACTTCATCCAGCTTCCACTAAAAACATTGTATTGGTTTGTGTTTCAAGTTTGAGTGTTTAGTTTTAAAATGATGATTTACTTTCAAAGGCTTCATGGCATCATTGCTTAGAATAATGCCATATTCTGTATCCCAATTAGGTACAAGTACTTCTTTTATTACAGATCATACCTGTGATTGAAAGTTAAGTTTTCTTTCCTTTTCTGATGCTACTTCCTTTACATTAGATTCCTGAGCACTCTCATCTCCCTTATGCTTCCCTGAGATACTGTTTATTTCAAAGAATCCATCCAAAGCTCCCCCTATTGACAGTGACATGTAAGATTAAAGTAATAACCAGGCAATAAGTAAAAATCTCTAAGTAGATTTTCTTTCAATTTCATTCCTTGATTCATTCATTCATGATGTGATAACAAAACTCTTGCATCAAGTAACTTATTGGCAGCACCACAACAACTGACATAACCTGAATGATCCTTGTTTTTGTTTTTAGGTTACAAAAATAAGTAAATGGCTGTATACTGTGTTTAAAATAGTACTACAATAAAAAACATCATGTCGTGTGTCACTGTTGTGCTTTTGTAAATGTTGGATATTATTGTTTATTATTTCTATATAATTACATGGGCCAGTCATGTATCCATCAAGGAAAGCTGCAGGTCTGTGGACCATTTGTTGAGAAACACTGTTTTAGAGGAAGTTAAGATTCCATTGGTAACTGTGTTAACACTGAAATAGAAGTTTGATTGGTTACTATATCTATAGAATAAGTTCTTATT